AGGGTTTGTAGGGTTTAGGGTTTAGGGTTTAGGGTTTAAGGCTTAGGGTTTGGGGTTCAGGCAGGGTGGATCTGGACTGCAGTGGTCGAGGATGTTTGGAATTTGTGGCTTAAAGCAGGAGCCAAGACTGTCCTTCATGCCCTAAGCCCTAAACCCCAAACCCTAAACCCTAAACCCTAAACCCTAAACCCTAAACCCCAAACCTTAAACCCTAAACCCTAAACCCTAAACCCCTAGACCCCTAAACCCTAAACCCCTAAACCCCTAAACCCCTAAACCCTTGCCCTGAGCCCTAAGGGTCCATGTCCGGGTTATGCTGGGGTTTGGGTTTCGGGTTTCTAGTCTAGAGTCTAGAAGCCCGATATAAGCTCTAAGAGCTTGGGGCTTTGGGGGCTTGCAGGTTGATAAAGTTGAGCCTTTATAGGGTTTAGGGTTTAGGGTTTAGGGTTTAGGGTGACAGCGCGGGGCCAGGTGACGACGGAGAGGAGACGACGACAGGCGGCGGTGTCACTACCACCGCCAGCTCCGGAACAACAGGTGTGGACCCTAAAGCCTAAACCCTGAAACCCCGAAACCCCTAAACCCTAAACCCTAAACCCTAAACCCCGAAACCCTAAACCCTAAGCCCTTCGGCCCTAAACCCTACACCCTAATCCCTAAACCCTAAACCCTAAACGCTGGCCCTAAACCCTAAGACCCAAGGGGCGAGGTCTGCCGTACCCGTGGACCCTGAACCCTGAACCCTGACCCCCAAACCCTTAAACACAACCCGACACCCTGAACCCTAATTAAACCCTAAACACTATAAACCCTGAACCCTAAACCCTAAAACCCTAAAACCCTAAACCCTGAACCCTAGTCTATGGCACTAAACCCCGGTGCGCATTTCAGGTGGCGGTGGTGGCGGGGAGACGCCGACGAAGCTCCGCATCATGTCCTGGAATGCGGCTTTGCGGCCTTATTTGCAAGGTTCGGGTTTAGGGTTTGCAGGATTTAGGCTTCAGGGTTTAGGGTTTAGGGTTTGCATGTTTCATTGATTTCTAGGGTTTCCAGGGTTTCTGGGAGTTCTTGGGCTTATAAGGTTTGTAGGTATACTCTGGCGTCTTTGCTGCAACCTTAGATCAGTAGTCTGTTTTAGCTCCTTTGAGGTTCATGATGAGGTGCTACAAGTTAAAATTCAGAGTGCCCAAGTGCAACCAAGTTCAAGATGCCATACATCTTAAACCCTGATACCCTAAACCCTAAACCCTAAACCCTAAACCCTAAACCCTGAACCCTACTACCCCAGCCCTTGGGATGAGGGTCTGGGCCTGCGAAGTTCTAGGGCATATTCTGTGGGGCCCTAAAGCCCAACCCTAAACCCTAAACCCTAAACCCCAAACCCTAAACCTCCCGCACATAGGGCATATGGCGTTTAAGGCATGTAGGGTCTTGGGCTTCGGGTCGCCGATGAGCTTGTGCACGCTCGTAGACCGCAAGCCAAAAAAACGCCTGTACCCTACCTAATCAGCCCATACCCTAAACCCGAAGCCCTAAACCCTACACCCGAAGCCCTAAACCCTAAACCCTAAACCCTGAACTCCCAGACGTTCCCATACGCCAAACCCTTTCCTATCCCAATGCCATCGGTCCATCAGCCTCATCGCTTGGGCGTTTAGGGTTTAGGGTTTAGGGGTTAGGGTTTAGGGGTTTAGGGTTTAGGGTTTAGGGTTTAGGGTTTGTGTTAATGAACTTTGGGTTAGGTTGAGTTTCGGGATCGGAGTTTCAGGGTTTGTTTGCTTGAGCCTTTTGAGCCTTTTAAGCTGACCGGAACTCCTAAGCCCGCAACCCAATACCCTTTGCCCAGCAATGCGGAGGTGTACTTCGGAAATCACAAGCTTGACGCCATGGGCGACATGCTGAAGCAGCGCCTCAGTTAAACCTGGATAAAGCGCGCTGAGCCCTATAAAGCCAAGCCCAAACCCCCAAGGCCTCATTCCCTGTCCCAAACCCTCATCCGTCAGACGGGGGGTTGACTAAGCGAAGCTAGAAGCCTGAAAGCCCGCCAAACTTTGGCCCGCCAAACACCCTAAACCCTAAACCCGAAACTGGGGCCGAGCGCCGCTGACGGGCTTACTCTAAGGTTGGAACCATGGGCACTTCGCATGGTCCCTTACCCTTGCTTATAGGATCCGAAGTATTGGCCCTTAATACATACAATGGTGCCTATAACGGTTATAGAACAAGGGCCCCTACTTGGAGTCTTAGATGTGTGTGTGTGTGTGTGTGTGTTTTTGGGAAGAATATGCTTGCTTCCTTCCTTTAGTAGCTCACTTTTTGGGATACTATAATCCCCGATAGACCTGAAAAGTGTAAACTTTTTTGGGGCTTATGAACTCAGCAACCCTAAACCCTAAACCCTAAACCCTAAACCCTCAACCCTCAACCCTCAACCCTCAACCCTAAACCCTAAACCCTAAACCCTAAACTAAGCAAGAAAGAGAAGTGGACCCTTTAGAATCATCACCCCAAAGAACCCAAAAAAAGGCCAAAGCTTGAAAGCCTAACCGAAGAGCCCAAAAGCCCCTACAGGCCCAACGCCCCAAACCTGAAGGTTTAGGGTTTAGGGTTTAGGGGCACGACACCTGGAGGTGGGATGTTGACATTGCTAACCTCCAGGCTCCGTTTTGCAGACCTTCGTCATCGGCTTGTCGTGGCTTTAGGGGTTTAGGGTTCAGGGTTCCTAAACCCTAAACCCTAAACCCTAAACCCTAAACCCTAAACCCTAAACCCTAAACCCTAAACCCTAAACCCTAAACCCTTAGGGTTTGGGGTTTGGTTTGTGGGGGCTTTTCATGGCTGCAGTATTTGTGGTTTTGGCCTTCGGGGTTTAGAGGTCGGGGCTTTGGGACTTTAGGGTTCAGGGTGGGGGGTTTAAAGTTCAGGGTTTGGGTGTAGGGCTTTAGGCTTTGGGGATTCGGGCTTACGGGTTTTACGGGTCCTGGGCGTTGGGTGTTTTAGGGGTGAGGCCCTGGTGGGGTTTTGGACTGAGAGAATCGCGTTTTTGTCGCGGGTTCGGCAGTCTGTTGGGTAATCAGGGGGTGAGGAGGGGGTGAGGGTGAGGCATTCAGGGCTTTCGGTTTTTCTTGCCTTGTAATGGTAGGGCTTTCTCATTGGGGGATGTTCCCTCTCATACGAACAGTCCTTAATAGAGATTATAGTACACCCTATTGTAATCGCCCTAAACCCTAAACCCTAAACCCTAAACCCTAAACCCTAAACCTTATAGTACACACTATTGTAATCCCTGTTAAGGACGTCTATGCGCCAGCTTTCCCACACGAAAGCTAGTAGGCTATAGCCCTGAACCCCGAACCTTCCTCAAGTTGTAATCGGGATCCCCAGCACCATTTCCGGTTCAGGGTTTAGGGAATCGAGGGTTCTTGGAGTCTGCATGCGCCAGGAGACAAACAACAGACTGGAGCGCATCGCGGACGAAGCAGGCGTACGTTTAAAGTTTCGGGTTAAGGGTTTAGGGTTAAGGGTTTAGGGTTTAGGGTTTAATTAGGCTTTGGGGTTTAGGGTTTAGGCCTACCCGGTGTTGATCCTTAGGGTGAAGGGTTGGAGGTTTAGGGTTTTTGGGGCTTAGGAAGTTCTATGGGCCCTAGCCTTCACTATTTAAAATTGCACATTATGATTTTTATTGTTATTATTTTTGTGATATTAGTATTTTTGTTATTATTATTATATATAGAGATGTATGTAACCCTATTAACCCATGTAAGTTTGAATTTGCTTAGGGCCCACAAGCCCACCCCGGTATAGGGTTAAGGGATTAACGCAATTGGGAACATGTTGAGTATGTTTGGGGGACATTCTGGGTGGGTTGTTAGGGTTTAGGGTTTAGTTAAGAGTTTAGGGTTCAGGGTTTGATGGGGAGGTGGGTAGCTGCTGTAGGTGGTATAACCCCAAACCCTAAACCCTAAATCCTAAACCCTAAACCCTAAACCCTAAACAGAAGATCCCAACACTTCTTGCAGGATACGTGTCAGCAAACACCTGGCATCAACCTCACGACTGGTGCGGCTACAACTTCCACAAGTCTGACTGGAGATCCTTGGCTGGGTGTGGGGGGTTTAGGGTTTAGGGTTTAGGGTTAAGGTTTAAGGTTTAGGGTGTGGGGAGTTTTGGGAGTTTAGGGTACGGTCTGCTGAACTGTGCCAGGAGGGTTTTGCAGTGCACAGTTTACAGGTGCGTAGTTTTGCTGTTTATTTCGGCCACGTCCTATATAAGCCTCCTATCAAAGACTTTAGAAGGGGAACTACCTTGAACTGTCCTAGAATGAATGAGGTGTGCGTGTGTGGAGTGTGTGTGTGTGTGCCCATATCATATTATTGGCCCCTGATTCAAGGTATACAAGTACCCCTTTTAAGGCGCAAGTATAAAACTATGCAGGTAGGGTTTGTAGCAGCTTAATTGCAAGGGAGTTTCTTTCTTCGTGTAGGGGTCAGGTTTCTGTATGAAGCCGCGCAGGGTTTAGGGTTTAGGGTTTAAGGTTTAGGGTTAGGGTTTAGGGCTCACCTTCCACATGGTCAGGGTTTAGAGCTAGGCTTCTTGTTGGTTGGGTTGCTGGGGAAGGGCGTCGGTCGGGCAGGCTAACTTTAAACTCAAAACCCTCACATCGGATGCCCTTCGGCTCCACAACCCCTTAAAACCACAAGCTCGGAACGCTTAAGCATAATGGGTTTAGGGTTTAGGGTTTAGGGTTTAGGGAAACCCTACAGTAAACACCAACAAGTTGGAACATCCTTATCCCCATCCCCCTAAAGGCATAGGAAAGGCAGTCCCAGCTCAAATCATTCTGAAACCATGTTCCAACTTTGTGTGGACTTTCCTGCAACCCTAAACCCTAAACCCTAAACCCTGAACCCTAAACCCTATAACCCTAAACCCCAAACCCTTGAGGTCATCAGAGCTCCGTGGAGGTCGAGGTGCCAGGCTCCCGAGGCGTCTGCGGCGCGATGATGCAGAAGGGCCAGGCCGCTTGATGGCTTCGTTTTGGGTGGCCTTTTGTAGGGTTTGGGGTTTCGGGTTTAGGGTTTAGGGCTTGGGGGTTTGGGGTTTTGGGGTTTTGGGGTTTTGGGGTTTTGGGGTTTTGGGGTTTTGGGGTTTTGGGGTTTTGGGGTTTTGGGGTTTTGGGTTTAGGGCTTGGGGTTTGGGGGTTTGGGGTTTGGGGTTTTGGGTTAGGGTTTTTGGTGTTTAGGGTTTAGGGTTTGGGCGGATCTGCTTCGGGTTCAGGTTTTAGGTTTTAGGATTTAGGGTGTAGCGGGTGTGTTTAGGGTTTAGGGTGTGCACAGGGGTTTGTGTTGTTTTTTTGTTTGGGGGGTCGGAGGGTTGGGGAGGGGGGTCACAAGATCCTTTGCACTTGGGGTGAAGGGTTGAGGTGTTTCCTTAGAGGTTGAAGGTCCCTAAACCCTAAAACCTAAACCCTAAACCCTAAACCCTTGGGGTTGGGGCCGCCACCAATGAAGGTGGGTTGCATGCATTACTAAGATGCCCAGTAGCCCAGTATAGAAGGCTAGGAGCCGGCAGACCCAAAACCCGGGTTCAGGGTTCATGGTTTAGGGTTTAGGGTTTAGGGTTTAGGGTTTAGGGTTTAGGGCTTAGGGCTTAGGGCTTAGGGCTTAGGGCTTAGGGGCCATTAAGATCTGGGTGGGGCTGCGAAGGTGTAAAGGGTTCAGGATTTACGTATAAACGAATGGTAAGTTCTCCACATGCTCCGCTTGTGGTGCACCCTGCATCTCCTTAAGCCCTAAACCCTGATTCTACAGACGACCTCCAGACGGTACCTTGTTTTAGAGAACTAGGATCTCAGAAGACGACTCGCCAGCGACTTGACTCTTGTGCTGCTAGCTGGAAAAGGGTTCAGGCTAAACCCTAAACCTTAAACTCTAAACCCTAAACTCTAAACTCCTAAACCCTAAACCCTAAACTCCTAAACCCTAAAGCCTAAACCTGGGAGGTTGGGGGTTCAAGCCCTTGCACCAGGCAAAGTTTTGCGTTTGGGGCCTCCACCCGATCCAGAACGGAAACAACGTGAAGTACGCCAAAGAGCCCCTTTGGCGCAGCAGGATCTGACCGTCTAGGACTCTCTGCAGCTTCATTGCCACGAAGCTCTTCGTACCTTAGGTCCCCGCCTCTAAACCCGACAGCGTTAAGGCCGTATACCTCAACCCAAGGCCCTTATTTACTTTTCAGGGTTTGGGTTCCCTTGCAACCCCCTCTGAACCACAAAAGGGCACCCTTTCTATTTCTAGGTTACTCCTGGGTCTAGTAAGCCCTAGCCCGAAACCCTAAACCCTATACTCCAAACCCTAAACTCTCAACCGTAATTCCTAGTTTCTACTCTGCCAAGTAGATGCCACAGATCATCTAGATAGTTCTCCGAATTAGGCACGCTCCACGCTTCCAGGGCCGACCCTCCGCTGCCTCTAGCGCTTGAAGCTTCATCCTACTTGCGAACGCGCTTTGCCTATGGGGGGTTCGGGCTGTCGGGCCTAGGGTTTACAGTTTGGGCTGGTTCTCCTAAATCCTTAGCCCCAACCCCTAGGCTGCGTTGCTCCTGAACATCTACAAGATGAAACTGAACAGGTATTATGCTGAAGTCCCTCTGATTGTTGAAAAGCCCAGCCAGAGTAGCCTCTTAGAAGTCCTCGGGGGAACCACGTATCTACTTTTTGCTTAAGAATACCCAACAAAAAGATAAAGATCCCTATATTGCCCTGGCCCTGAAAAGCAAGATTTTTCCATTTACTTTTCGGGTGTTCTTAAGAAAATGCTAAGTATATAATATATAGTTACCCTGAAAGGGAGTGGAGGATGAACCCCCCCCCCCCCCACACAGAGAAAACCCACTCCTCAGGCCACGATTCCTTCCTATCCGCCCCCCTCCGCCCCATCCGCCCCATCCGCCCCATCCGCCCCATCCGCCCCATCCCCCCCCCCCCCCCCCCACCCACCCAACCACCCCACCCCGATCCCTACAACGAGTGGGTTAAGTGGGTTAAGGGCAAAGGATTAGTTAAGGGTTTAGGGTCTAGGGTTTAGGGTAAGGGTTTAGGGTTTAGGGATCTCTCTTTGCCAAGGTCCATAAAGCTGGCCGCCGACAAGATGAAGGTTGGGGAAGTCGTATGCGGTTTAGGGTTTAGGGTGTAGGGTTTAGATAAATCTCCCACACCAAAGCTGTCAGATCACGTATGTTCGATGTGCCCAGATCATTTTTGGCTGATGTAACTCAGGCCCGCAACAGGTTTAGGGTTTAGGGTTTAGGGTTTAGGGTTTAGGGTTCAGCAACCTTGGGTTCCGCAATTCGATAGTAGCAAGAACCCTAAAGTTGACACGCTCATGCCGTGCGCCCTGAACCCCGAATGCCAGAAAAGCCTCAGACCCTCCATCCACGAGGCCTATGAAAGACCCAACTGAGAATAACTTGGTACTGTAGCCCAGTGGTACTCTTTTTTTTGTTATAGTTCCGGGTTCCCTTGATAAAGTAACCAACCAAAGAAGGGTACCAAAAAGAAACACAATTACTGTGGCTACTGGGCTACCAAGATCACGCCTGAAACCCTAAATACGGCCCTTAACGTAATCTCAAAGCCCTGAAGCCCTAACTAAAGCCTCCCCGACACTAATCTAGCAAGTCGCAAAGAGGGCCCAATAGTAGCACAGGCTGATGGACTTAAGGTTTGGGGTTTACAGGGTTTAGGATTTAAGGTTTTGGTGATGGTCCATTAATATGGCCGGCTAGAAAAGAGGTAAACAAGGGTTCCCCAATAAAGGTGAAGGGACCATGTAGGTTTGGAAACCCAAAGCCCTAAACCCCAAAACCTAAATCCTAAACCCTCAACCCCCAACCCCAATGATAGGCCCTAATAAGGGGCTGGAAACCAGGAGTGCGCGGAGACCCACAGCGCTCCTTCGCAGCTTCTCCGCAACAGCGCAAGGGTTTAGGGCTTTTAGTTTTTAGGGCTTAAGGTTTAGGATTTATTGTTTAGGGTTTATAGGGTTTGGGTTTAGGGTGTAGGGTTTAGGGTTTAGGGTTTAGGGTCTAAGTATACAAGTACTGATACATCATGTATTTAACACCACCCTAGACCCCCAAACCCTAAACCCAAACACCCACCATCCCTAGACCCCCACTAGCCCTAAACCCTAAACCCCTCTCTCCAGGAGCGTTAGGGGTTAGGGCTGCGGTTAGGGCTGTTGGGGTGTAGGGGGTGGTGGGGGTGGTGGGGGTGTGGTGGGGGTGTGGTGGGGGTGTGGTGGGGTGTGTGGGGGTGTGGTGGGGGTGTGGTGGGGGTGTGGTGGTGGTGGGGTGGGGTGGGGGTGGTGGGGGTGTGTGGTGGGGGTGTGGTGGGGGTGTGGTGGGGGTGTGGTGGGGGTGGGTGGGGGTGTGGGGGGGTGTGGTGGGGGTGTGGTGGGGGTGTGGTGGATGTGTGGTGGGGGTGTGGTGGGGGCGTGTGGTGGGCGTGTGGTGGGGATGGTGGTGGGGGTGGTGGTGGGGGTGGTGGTGGGGGTGGTGGTGGGGGTGGTGGTGGTGGGGGTAGTGGTGGGGGTGGTGGTGGGGGTGGTGGTGGTGGGGGTGGTGGGGGGGTGGTGGGGGTGGTGGGGGTGGTTCGGCTGGCCTTGGCGGCCTGCACCCTTACCGAGCTAGGGCAAAAAATGCCAGGTGTAGGGTTTTTGGTTTAGGGTTTGGGGTTTAGGGTTTAGGGTTTAGGGTTTAAACATGGTTACCGTAGGAGAGTTTTTTCAGGATCTTCCTCGGCGATTTCAACACGGCGGACTGGCGAGGGGCCATGGGCGAGCTCGAGTATCGCACTGGATGGAAGTGGTGACTCGCCTGAACGTTTAGGGTTTAGGGTTTAGGGTTTAGGGTTTAGGGTTTAGGGTTTAGGGTTTAGGGGTCTTCACTGGCAGGGGACTGCAGGGTGTAGGGTTGCAACTGCTTGGGGGGTTCAGGATTTGGGTTTAGGGCTTAGGGGTTTTGAACCCTAAACCCTAAAATTGGGGTTATTCCTAGGATACTCTTGAGGGCATAGGTCCCCAAAAGGGTTCAGGGTTCAGCATTCCCAAACCTAAGCCCCAGAAGGTTGACTACCACGTCAGGCCCTAGAATCGAGTAGGTACCCTTTTTTTCATGTTTGAGAGCACTCCGCATTAGGACCCTGAATGGGTAGGCTCCGATTCTCGGCAGATTCCTATAAGAACGATTCCTGCTCCTTGCCCATATGCTGAAGCAGAGAAACAAGTCGTTGCAAAGAGACAACGAGTAACGGCCCTCACCACCTCCACTTTTTTGTTCAGGTGCGAAGGAATCCATGTTTGGTCCATCCCCTCAAACACAAGAAATCCACCTGTGAATGTCCGGCCCGTCAGCTTGGTAACCCTAAACCCTAAACCCTAAACCCTAAACCCTAAACCCTAAACCCTAAACCCTAAACCCTAAACCCTAAACCCTAAACCCTAAACCCTAAACCCTGCGCCCTTGACCTTTCTTTCCTCCGAGGTCTCAACTATAGCAACCTTCTCAGCCACCACTATAACCATACTTGTACCCTCAGGGTCCATGTACCTAAATAGGGAATACTTGGGCCTTTAAGTACTAAACCCTAAACCCTAAACCCTAAACCCTAAACCCTAAACCCTAAACCCTAAACCCTAAACCCTAAACCTACCCATGAACCTTCCCTCAATCTCTCATCACCATGCCAAAGCAACGCCGCCTTGAGGAGCCTGGCTGCCAAGCATGCCACTAGGCATGGAGTACCCCGAGAGCTTTTAACCCCCCCCCCCCCTCCGCCGCGGGTTTCGGGCCACCCTAAAGGCTCCCAATCAGGGTTTAGGGTTTAGGGTTTAGAGTTTAGGGTTTAGGGTTTAGGGTTTAGGGTTTAGACGTTTGAGCCTTACTCTGTGCAGGGGGTTACTCAGGCCGGGTAGTTCGGAATCTCTGAGGCTAGGAGTTTGATGCGTCTTCGCATGGATATCACCGTGCGAGGAACACCCTAAACCATAAACCCTACACCCTAAACCCTAAACCCTAAACCCCAAGCCCTAAACCCGAAACCCTAAACCCTAAACCAACTCCAGGGTTGTTACACTTGTGTAGGGAGCACTGGGGGGCACGGGCCGTGGGGTCTGTGGGTTCAAGGGTTCTGGAGGGTCTGCATGTAGGATTCTTGAGATGTTGGGTTCAAGGGTTTAGGGTTCATAGGGCGCCGGGGTGAGCAGTCGACGTGTTTGGGGGGGGTGGGGGGGAGCCGGGGAGCATGTTCCCCTACCAAGCCCACATCCGCAGAAGAGGTCCCTCACTACCTTCCGGTTTAGGGCTTAGGGTTCTGAATCTGGGCCCTTGGGTTTTACCTTGTCTGAAAGGGCTATTGATTTAGGGGATGTGCAACTACCCCAAGAGTTCAGACCGATCAGCCCGTTCACAACAACCTCATAACAAAGCATGTTCAAGAACTCGGTGGAGATACCACTTGGGTCTTTCCCCCCCACAGTAGCAGACCTTAGGGATCTTGACAAAGGGCTCTGAGAACTCCCACTTGTTTTGGTAGCTGCTACCAGCACGCAACAAGTGACATAAAGACTTTAAGAGACCTCTACGAGTCTACCCTAAGCCCCAAACCCTAAACCCCGAACCCTCGACCCCAAGGCCTAAACCCTAAACCCCAAGACCTAAACACTAAACCCGGTCTACGAGCTAAGGACATCGACTTCATCTTCATCACGGAGAGTCCCCTGAAGGTTGGCAAGGCGCGGTCTTTTGTCCGTCTGCAGGTATACAGGGTTTTAAAGTTTGGGATTAGGTGGTTAAGTTTATACGGCTCTGACTGTGTAGAGTGTGGGGGGGGGGGGGGGTTGTATGTGACGGAGTTCGAAGGTTTCAGTTGTGTTTGGTTGTGCTGCGAATGGTTTTGTGCTTCTGCAGCCTGCCATAGATGTCCGAGTAGGGTTAGGGTTTAGGGTTTAGGGTTTAGGGTTTAGGGTTAAGGTTTAAGGTTTAGGGTTTAGGGTTTTGGGGTTTATTAGGGTTTAGGGTTTACAGAGTTTAGGGTTCTTCCCTGACCAAACAGGTTGCCCTGTTTTTTTTTTTTTCCAGCTATCCCTAGGCTGCTCAGCAATTCCTATTCCTCCTCTTCGGCCTCGGGTTTGGGTTCAGGGTTTTGGTTTGGGGTTTAGGGGATTTGGGGTCTGGGGTTTCGGGCTTGCACAGGTGAACTGGAGCAAGATCATCGGCGACGGCTCTTGCTGGCCAGCCTTTCCGCCACACAACAAGGCCAGGAATTCATCAGGGTTTTCCAAGTAGAGGGCGTAGTTCTTATGCGGGTCACGATATTCTCGGGTGGTTTATCATAACTTTGGATTTTGAGCTTTTGCTGGGATACTGGGCTTCTCGATGATTTTCGAAAAAAAAACCCTAAACCCTAAACCCTAAACCCTAAACCCTAAACCGTGGAGCTTCTGATGCCACTGCCCCCAAACAAGGGCTCAGCTCGGGGGCATGGCCCGAAACCCCCCCCCCCCCCCCCAAGCCCCATACCCTGACTTGGTAGCCCAGTGGTACCCTTTTGCCCTTTTGCTGGTTCTAGGTTTCCCTTATAAAGTATGTTTTGATATGGTTGCTGGGCTACCAAGATTAACCCCAGACCCTGGAAACCCTTGGATTGGGAAGGGGGGAGGCAGGGTGCGTAGTGGAGGAGCTCCTAAACCTTCATAAGCCCTAAACCCTGAACCCCTCAACCCTTAAACCCTTAAACCCTAAACCCCTTTAAACGCGTAAACCCCTGAACCCCTAAACCCCTAAAACCTGCACCCCTAAAACCCTAAGTCCTAAACCCCAAAACCCTCAAACTCCGAAACCCTAAGGTCCGAAACTTCCCCAGATCGCTCTTCAAGTCTCCATGCATAGAACCCCATGTTCCCAAACCCATTCAGTTGAGGGTTGAGGGTTGAGGGTTGAGGGTTGAGGGTTTAGGGTTTAGGGTTTAGGGTTTAGGGTTTAGGGTTTAGGGTTTAGGGTTTAGGGTTTAGGGTTTAGGGCGTTCCTATATAGGGGTGGCTCGCAGGTCTCTCCCGGCTGCGGCTGGGCCGACCACTCCCCGGTCTTCGCCGAGATCGAGCCCCACAGCCGAAGGGTTCAGGGTTTAGGGTTTAGGGTTTAGGGTTTAGGGTTTAGGGTTTAGGGTTTAGGGTTTAGGGTTTAGGGTTTAGGGTTTAGGGTTTAGGGTTTAGGGTTTGAGTTTAGATTTATAGAAAGTCTAGGGTTTCGGGGGCTTGGGGTTTAGGATTTTGGGTTTGAAAACCCCTCAGTGTTGCGTGCTAGCTTCCCCGCCGAAGCGCTGAGCTATGCCCCAAATTGGAGGGTTTAGTTTTTTTTTGTTGTCGGAATGGGGTTTAGAGTTTGATTGTCTTAAGCCGTAAACTAAACCTAAACCGTAGACCCCCATAAAACCAAAACCCTAATAACCCTAAGCCCTACAAGCCCTCAGCCCTAAACCCTAAACCCTAAACCCTAAACCCTAAACCCTAAACCCTAAACCCTAAACCCTAAACCCTAAACCCTAAACCCTAAACCCTAAACCCTAAACCCTAAACCCTAAACCCTAAACCCTTAGCCGTACCCAGGCTGTCCCTCACTGCATGAGATCGTCCTTCAGGCGCGCTCGGATTGTTCAGTTTTGGGCCCAGAAGGCCCCGCCAAAGTTAGCGTTTTGCAAAAGAGTTTTTGGGGTTTAGGGTTTAGGTTTGCAGACTAGGATTTGCTCAAGAACACCCCCCTTCAAATAAAAGCAAAAGGGCAAAAAGTGAGTTGTTTTTTGGGTGGCTCTTAAACAAATTAAATAGTTGTTTCGGGTTTAAGATTTAAGGGTGTAAGGGTTTAAAGGTTCAAGAATTTAGGGTGTGAGGGTCGCTTCAACACCCTAAACCCTAAGCCCTAAACCCTAAACCCTACCGGGTAGGCCCTTGCGATACTTTCTGTTTTCCCTCTTTTGGGTCATATTCAGAATATTTTGTTCCGAGGGCTTCAGGGGCCAACCTCGGTCACTTCGTAGATGAGTAGATAACCTTTAATTTTTTGGGGTCTATACCCCTAAACCCTAAACCCGAAACCCTAAACCCTCAACCCTCAACCCTAAACCCTAAACCCTAAATAATCCTATCAAAAAGGTTAATCTTGTTTGGGCCAGGGTACTCAGCAGCTAGGGTTAAGAGTCGCCTGCATGGTCCCTAGATATATGCCCTTAAAAGGGTACCCCTTTTGTACCCCTTCGATACCCTATAGAAAATTCAGGACTCTCACGTCGGCACCCTTTAAAGAAGGTTAGGCACCATATTAAGGGCGCATGAAGCTGCCCTTAGCTAAACCCTAAACCCTAAACCCTAAACCCTAAACCCTAAACCCTAAACCCTAAACACCACGCTCCTGGGTGGGCAGGCCGATGCCCAATCGCTCTCAGCTGTTTGAAACAGAGCTGACCTGATGGGATTCACAGCCTTCGAAGGCTTCTGGCGGACCGCTGTCTTAGGGGGGCGGTTTTCAGGTTGAGGCTGGAGGGTTTCTTCTTGAATTCTGGCAGGGTTGTACTTTGAGCCCGAAGCCCTAAACCCTAAATCCTAAACCTTAAACCTTAAACCCTATAAACCCTGAAAGCTGCAGAAAAAAAATCCCCGCCTGAGGGCAGGGTTGTGGGTTTCCGGTCCGCCTGGGCCAGCAGAGTAGACAGACGGGCGAAAACAGCCCGCAACTTCTGTGGCCGTATATGCAGCGGCAGCGTAGGCTTTGAGATCTTTAGTTAGGGCCCATAGAATTCAGGGTTGAGGGGTTTC